ATGTGGTGACGAAGCTGAAGGCTATCCTACTTCGACATGGAGCTCCGGATGTGCTGATTACGGACAATGGCACGCAGTTCGTCGGTAAACTGGTTCGAGAGTTAGCTGCTGAGTGGGGCATCACGCTACAGACGACGGCCCCCTACAGCCCCCAGTCAAACCCAGTCGAGAGGCAGAACCGGGTGGTGAAGACTATGATTGCACAGTTCGTGAAAGGCAACCATAGGTCTTGGGACAACCACCTGGTGGAGTTCCAGTACGCCCTCAACACAGCTGTCCACGACTCTACTGGATTCACTCCTGCGATGCTGTGTTTCGGACGCGAACTGAAGCCTCCCTGTGCCGTCCGTGGCCCTTCGTTTGAGGTGTCTGAAACTCTCCAAGGTCCCTCGTTAAGTGAGACCCATCGCAAACGACTGGATGAGTTTCAGCGTCTGATCACGCAGACACACAAGAACCTCAAGGCTGCCTACGAGAGGCAATCGACATATTATAACCTCCGTCGTAGGGAGGTGACTCACGAAGTTGGCGCGCAGGTGATGAGAAGACTCCACATCCTGTCTTCTGCTGCTGACGCCATCGTAGGGAAATTAGCACCAAAATATCATGGCCCCTGCATTGTGGTCGGTCGTCGAGGTACTAATCTCTACGAGGTACGTGATGAGGATACTGCTGCAGTGCACGTCGTTCACGTGAAAGACTTGAAACCTTTCTGTGCACGTGACTAGTCTGCAAGGATCCCGCAACCGCAGCGACGTCTGGTGATCCGTTGTTCGTCAGTCCTTTCGGCCACGTCAAGCTGCCGACAAGCAGCCATAGCTAACCCTCGTCTGGGGGTGACGTATCCTCGTGAGTAGCTCTTCGCCCCGCTTCCAAGACTCCGAGCCTGCCGTACTACCCTACCTTTGTAAACCCCACGCCTACTCTTCACCTTTGGTTACTCTTCGCCCCGATTCGTTTTCGTCCAGACCTCTGAGGCAACTCGGCCTCAGACAGTCTACATCATTCCTAATTTCGCTCACTTTTCGTCGTCAACACCCTGGAGCAGCCGGACCAATGGGGTCCGGCATCGGCTTCTGTCAACTTTTCCTGCCCACGATCCTACTGATGTGTCATCTGCAGGAAAGTTCAACAGTTTTTTTCTTTTTCTCGTTTTTCTTTTTTTCGTTCCGAAGTGTGGAGGGGGTGTAACGGGTCAAATGTGTAGGGGGTAAAATATAACGATCTAGACCACGAACATTAAACAGCTAAACATAAGCTGTTGAGTAAGCCTAGTCGCGACACTAAACTGACGTCGTACCTAACCTCCAATTCCAAGACCGCAGACGACGTTGGTGTCAGTTTGGTTGTTTGGCTGTTCGACTGCATCTGAGGCCGGGCTACGGGAGAGAAGATGAGCAGCGAGGTCACCTTTGAGCGGTACGCGGCTGTAAGCCTGTTAAAGCTACCATGCGCCTGCCTTCGCTGCCAGTTTTTTTTTGGTTTCGGTAACTCGTTGACCAATCAGGAATCGTTTTAACTTTCGTCTCGATTCTGAGACGAAGGTGAAGTAAGAAGAAGTTTTGTGAAGTTTTCGTCATTCGTAATCCCGGCTTTTCGTAGGTTTGTTTCGTTGTTGGTTCGCTCTCGAAAATTCGTGCAAGTTTAAGTTCGTATCGCAAGCTCTGAAAGCTTAAGTTCGTACGTATTGTTTCGTAGTGAATATTTTCATATAATTTCGTCATCGGGTAAGTTTTGTAACTAACTTACAGATTATTGTATATTATTTGACCAGTTTTCGTGTACTTAACTTGGTTGAACTTGAAGGCTAGGCCTGATTCGCAGACCTAGTCATACGCCTTAACCAACAATTTGAGTAAAGTACTGCAGTTGGTGAAATATATTTTCAATTACGTTTCATAATCCGTCTTGGGACTTTCTTTTTTTAATTCTGAAAACCCCTTTTTTAAAGTTCCCCAGACGTACCAAAGTCTGTTCCAGCAGACAGGTTTCTGCTGGACAAGTTCTGTCGAAGTTGGTCTAAGTTGAACACGTGAGGAAGTTAAAGTTTTAGTTTTTCGTTTTTGGCTCAAGGAGCAGTTTCACCTTTTTAGTTTCGTTTTTTTTTGTTCGTTCCTCACCTGGACCACTTAGGCTAACTTGTTTTCTTATCATTTTAGTAAATTCAGACTCTGTGGGAGTTAGGCTAGGTTAGGCCTATCTTGTACTAACCTTGTTTGTTTCAGGGTGACGACGTAACTCCGTAGGTAAGCGGAGTGCCTACTTAGCTTACTTGTTGATTTGTTAAGTTAGCTAGTAGTGTGTCATTTAGATATTTGCCCACAGAGTCAAGTCAAAATTATTATTTTCCCCACAAGCCCTAGGCTAGAGTGGTGATTTCTAGTTGGGTGTTTAGTAACCCGTAACGTTCGTCTCGAGCTCTGACAACCAGGGCTATCAAATTTAGGCTATCCGAATCACTATCGACTCCTGGGAAACTCCCCGCGACCAGACTAGGGCGAATCCTGGGATCTTCGTTTTATTACCGGTGGCGTAATTTCCCACTTGTCGTCCGCCAGGAAAATTACGTCACAATGTAATGGACAACTCTTTCTTTCTTAAGGAATATCTAAAAATGTTTATTTTCATACCCATTGATTATGTAACCTGAACAGGTGACTCAAGCAGTTTTAAAATAATGATTGTTCTGTGGAACTTTTGATTGTTTCAAACAGTTTTGCTTATCAAAAAACCTCAAGTAATTAATATAAAAAAAATTATACAGTCACTAAAAATCATGAAATAATTTAATTTTGTAAAAAAATACAACCGACTTCAAACGCTCTAAAAAGAAAGAAATAATTTTAATAAAGTAAACTTTTGTATTAGGCAAGCTCACGTATTTCAAGTCGGCGCGGCTCAAACTGCAAATATGATTGAAATTAAATATTGTGTGTGTATTTTGAAAATAAATAAAATGTAGCTGGATAACATAAATATATAAAAAACATACTGAACTGTTTTGTTTATATATTAAAGGAAATATTTTCTTGTATTTTATGTTTACTTCAGAATAAATGCATTATGAAAATAACACACACAAATGTTCTATATGAATAGGAAAATAATTTAGTTTGATATTATGATAGGGAAAAGAAGCTAGTTTAGTATTAAAACATTATTTTTCCAAGTTATAAACATTTAAATGCGTTATAATCTTTTTAAAGATACTCGTTAATACCACTATAATGCCGATCTCTGATTACGGTAATAAAATAACACTTATCGCATAACTATGAAAAGGACATGCAGATTAACACCTTTAGTTATAGATAGTCACCTGCAATATGGACACCCTTTTCAATTTTGTATCAAAAATCATCATAGAGTCGCGCCGACTTGAAATACGTGAGCTTGCCTAATACAAAAGTTTACTTTATTAAAATTATTTCATTCTTTTTAGAGCGTTTGAAGTCGGTTGTATTTTTTTACAAAATTAAATTATTATTCTAAGCTGTGGAAATCGGACAAAAATGTTGATTAGACCACAATCATATCAGAGGCTTTTAATCGTCAGAGTCCATTGCCATCAACGGCTTTTAGATGACTCTCCTGTCATGAAAACATCATAAGAGTTAAACATTATAAGTGTCAAACTAGTGGTTAATTATCAACCAGAGAATGGCCCAATTTGTCACCCAGTCTGCTCTAATATATACATTTGGTACTCTACAGTTATTTCTGCGAGAAGCTGCCACTCTGGTAAATTCACCCAAAACTCTTACCTTCGGTAAATCCCTAATATCTTAAGACTGTGATACTATTTACAAGTATCTCTGGCTGATTTATATTGCCTTTCTACTCAGAGACCTAAAAGTGTAAGATTTAAGTTGTAATCAAACAAACTGTTACAGCTAGATAAAGTATGTTGCGACATAAATAACATCAAATAAATACAACCTGATTGTCGGAGCTTATCATATTTATACATCTGTGGTGACTTAGTCTTCCCTTGTAAATTTATTACATAAATACATAAAAGAAACTTTCCAATTAAATAATAAAAACTTGTGTAACTTATAATCCAATCAGATCCAAACACAAAATTTTATTTTTAAGTTACAAATTTGTTTTGCAGTTATGTGTTAAATAATGTTCTGTGATAAATAATCAGCAAACCATTTCCATGATTTGTTTACAAGTATTTTGTGTTTTATAAATTAAAGGTTCAATCCCCTCCACCAAGATACTAAATAACACAGGCTATCAAGTCTCACCAGTCCATTATATTAAACATGTATATATCCCAGGCAAAGTCCAAAAGTCCAAGTAAAGTCCAAGTAAAGACCAATTTTTACATTTATAAAGTGTACCCTATTTAGTTTCAAGTTTCATCCAATACATCTGGTAACACTACTATATTAGTGTGTTTAATAATATTGTAATAAAAAGCGGTTATTAAAATTAATGTAATATTAGCATTGAGGCTGGCATGATTTTACCATCAGGTTTATTTTGGATTCATCAGTTGACTACCATTTAGGATTAGGCGACATTGCTGTTTTTGTAGTGTTTTAATTTTGATAACAACTGATTTTTCAAGATTATATACTTGAGAAACTTTTGGGGAATTTTAGTCTTTAGGACAGTTTTAGCATATAACATCTGAGCCATAGCAGGTAATTAGCAGGTTAGGTAAAAAAAACCAAACATAATCTTTCATAAAGTTTTCTTCCCCAAGGATCATCTAAAGCAAATATCATTTTCCCAGTAAATGAAAAGTGTATTTTAAATTTTAATGTCTATCATTTATTCCTAGTACTTTTACCATTTATGACAAAAAAAAATAACTAAATATATTTTTTTTAAATACCATAATACATTTCCTCACTAATAACCAAAGATTAAATTTTTGATTTGTGATAAAGAGAAATTAATTTTTTAATAGAATAACTTTTAAATATAATTTAACAATATTTTTTAAAACAATTTTTATTACATTTTCAAACAAATTGACTTACTGCGGGCAACATAGGCTGGGATTCGAGAGGGTCGACTATCAACAAGTCGGCCGCAGTCCTCGCCTCTCCCCCGTCGTTGGTGGCTCTCGCCTCGTACCTCCCACTGTGGGAGTGGGACGCTGAAACATCCACGATATTATTAAACCACAGCCGCTGCAACGCTAATTATAGACCAACCACCTGTCATACGGGACTTGTCATTGTGAAAATAAATGCATCTTTAGCCATGATCAGTGGTAAAAGCTATTCTCGTAATCACTATTCAGGATTTCAAGCTGTAGAGATCTCAAATATCTATTGTGAGTAGTATTAATCAAACTAAACACTAAACAGTTAAAAGTTTATTTATAAATCTTAATTTAATTTGCAAGTGTTCCAATTACAGACTAATGACAAGTGGGGTAGATATTTCCAATACATTGCCAAGATCTTCAGTTACAAATGACCCATGGACAGTAAGCTGCTGACCTCCTGCCAGTAACTGAGCCATTATTATAATCAAAATGTCCTTGCAATTATAATTGGGACTAAATATTACCTCGACAAAACAATTAAATACATTATATGAAATACAAATTTATTTTTTTAGCTACTACACATTACAGCTATTGTAGTATACACGGTATAATTGTTTGATAAATTTTAGAGGTAAATAAACTAATCATTTATTTATAGCGGTGGGATAAGCATGCATTTCAAAACTTCTTTTGGTCAGTTTTTGCTATTATGTGTTACTAGTACTAAGTTTATGTTATATGTGGTTTAGTACAGAAATTTATCTTTTAAAATAATTCTACTCTGCTGACTGAGAAACTGCCAAAGTACACTGATGAAAGTGACTTAAGTTTGCAGATCTGTATAAACCTTGATTTTAATATTGATTTGTAAATATTTCTTTTTCAACTTATGCTTTTTTCTCTGTTGTTTCCTGAAAACCCTTGAATTGTACATTGCCTGCTTGTATAAATAAACAATAAAATACATGCTATTCTGCTAACAAACGGATAGTCTATAGTCGGAAATAGCGATAAACTATTAAGTTATTTATAGGATTATTATAGACATTTCCCATTAGAATCAGGCAAAAATATTTTCAAAGAGTAATGGAATATGGAATCTGATTTGATTTCTTTGGTGTCTTATCCAGCTTTAGCTGAGTCTGTGTACTAATCTTGTTACATTTGAGGTATTTTCTAATCTGAGGATGGAATCAGATTGCACATCCTGAAACGTTAAAATTTGTGTACTATTCGAGTTGGGAAATGTCCATAATATTCTTTCCGTAACAAAAACTAACTAACATCAATATTGCACAATTAGCTATTATGTTTAAACCAACCTTGTTCAATGATGAGCCTGTGTGAGTTTCCCTGAGCAAGTACTCTGTACATGGATGAGGACGCAGCTATCTGCTGACCATCCTTGTACCAAGTGACAGATGGGTCAGGTGTCCCCGTGACCTCCACCTCCAGCACAGTTCGCTTGCCCACCGGCACTGTGTCGGCTCTCAACCTGCGGCCAAACACTGGCGGGAACACGTGCTCTGCAACACAAACAAACAACAAATATGTTGAGTAGTAAAGACAACACCGACATTAATTATAAAAATTGACTCAATATCACAAATTGGTAAGTTAGAGGTTCAATTGGTAGGGATGTGTAACAAAATCAGCAATGTCGTAGGTTCAACCATTAAAATTGAACACTACAGTTTATTCTTGCACTGTTCTGGCTGAAACCTTGCTTTGATTGCTCTATGCACATGACTTGGAGGCCTATTGAGTCAGGCAAATTCAAGGTTAATAGAGACTGTCTCGCTTTTAAAAATATTTTACCTTTCTTTGGATTTTATTAAATAAGAAGTGTACATACAACACATATTTAATTACTAACCCTAACATTCACATTTAAAATATTGGAAAAACAGGCTTAATTTAAGAATACATCTACGTGGGCAATTCTGAATTGTAAACAAAAAGGAAGCTGTACATCAACAATTGGGTGAAAGATTGACAAATACTTGTCTTCAAACAATGAACACTCCTTAAGTGTCAACTGCATTTTGAAAACTGAACTTTGGGTGAATAGAAACCTCCTGTTGTTACAGTGCCTATAAACTATAGGATGAAATCAAAAAAGAGGCAATTCTCTCTATTTTACCCCTGTATACAGGGTGGTAAAAAAGTCCCTGGACAGTTAAATATTTTAAAAAATAATGCAGATAGAGCTACAATACTTGGTACAAAGTTACAGGGCATAAAACTCTATTTTAACACATATTCAGTGATCCAATAACTCTTCAGGGGGACGGCCCACAAGGAGTCGGAAGAAAATCTTAAATGGAAGCATAGGTCAATATGCACATCAAATTAAAGGTCTTTTTTATTAGAATACAATGCCGCAAACCGCACTTCAAAAGGTTGATCCTGCGCAAAATGACAGTTGTTCAAAGATTCATTTAATTTACATTGCCATTATACGCTTACTCCTCAGGGGGCACAGCCCTAGGAATCGGAAGAAAATTTTTAACGAAAGGATAGGTCGATATGCACATCAAATTAAAGGTCTTCACTAGTAGATTACGATGCCGTAAATTCAAGCTCAAAAGAATGTCCGAGTAAAAAATGGCAGTCGTTCAAGATTCAAAATGGCGGATTTGAGAAATCTTTGAACATCTGCCATTTTGCGCAGGATCAACCTTTTGAAGTGCGGTTTGCGGCATTGTATTCTACTAAAAAAGACCTTTAATTTTATGTGCATATTGACCTATGCTTCCATTTAAGATTTTCTTCCGACTCCTTGTGGGCCGTCCCCCTGAAGAGTTTTGGATCACTGAATATGTGTTAAAATAGAGTTTTATGCCCTGTAACTTTGTACCAAGTATTGTAGCTCTATCTGCATTATTTTTTAAAATATTTAACTGTCCAGGGACTTTTTACCACCCTGTATTTATTTTCAATTGACATAAGTTCAAGTTGTCTAATACATCCAATTTGCAAATTTGTTTATGTTCACATTCCAAACTAAACACTTTATGTAAGAAAATTATACAAGGGCAGTTTAGTTTTAACATACTTTTAATGACCAGGTCGGCAGTGCAAGTGGCAGTACCAGCTGGGTTCACGGCTGTACAGCTGTATTTTCCTGCGTCCTCTACATGTACGTAACTCATCTGCAGCCGAGCTTTATTGAGTTCCCAAGATGTCCGCAATCGATCTCCCTCAACTACCGGCTGGCCGTTCTTCTTCCATGTTACTTCAGGTGTAGGATAACCTTAATCATAATGCATAAAATGTATACTCAAGGTAAGCAAAATTTGATGTATAAACCGCCTCAGAATGTATGATATAGTCTAAATCAGGTCAAATTTGAAAAAAAGGCATTTCACGGGGTTTTTATCACAGGTAAGCTTAACAAGTACAGTACATGAATTGTAGTATATCTGTAATTTTATATGAGTTTGAAGCCAATGATATTTCTACCGATCCTAACAGCTCAAGGCATGAACTGTTGTGGAGTGTTAAATCCTTTGGGAGTAGCAATATTTTTGGTCAGGCAATTCTTTTGTAAGGCTCCCACATTAATTGGAAACTAATTTGTCAGATTTGGGACTGAGGTCACCAAACATACCAAAAATGTAGGTACCCAGGTGTATCAGGGTAGGGCATAATCTAAAACAAACTTAACTTCATCTCTGTGACAGGGATTGGATTAATTTGAGCTGACGGGGATTGGTAATTCAATTGATCTTTTCTTAACAGAGCACATCAAAAAAGCAAACTTAACATAAATACTTTATCAATACACTGTGACTTATGAATTATTAAATATAGAATAAATAATCTTAAAGTCAAGTCAGTTAGTTTGTGCATTCACCTTCCAATATACACTCCAGAGTTACGTCTACACCCTGGTCCACAATCTTGCCCATCACCGGGGTGACAAAGCGAGGAGGTACTTGTCTGCGCTGCTGCGCCGGCCTGGCTGGCACTACTGCACCAGTAGGCACCACTGCGCCGGGCGGCACCATCCCCGCACTGTGACTCTGGGTGTCGATCTTCTCCTCCACACCTCCTACATTGTGGTACTCACTGGTCTTGTGGGACTCAGTCTACACACAAGAAGCAACAAATGTGATAAGGATGTAATAGAGAGCATAAATGCCTAAGTTTTAAGGATTTTGGTTAGGATAGAAGGTTTTCCTGAAAGGGAAAGAATAACCTACACTCTGTCAAAAGAAGAACAAAAGATTGAATATTTCACTGACAGAATTGTTCAACCACGATAGGTTTGACTGTCTGTGACAATGAAATATTCTAATTTTTGTGTCTACTGTTTCTTGTGCCAGAGTGGTCATTTAGCTATTCACATAAGCCTGTCATCTTTAAACAGATATTCAAATTAATTAAAAGAAAATAATCAATGTTTTACTACTAAAAGACAGATAACCTTATTGGGAGTATTTCGAACAATGAGCACTATGAAATGCTTTAGTTCATGGTTGAAAATAGAGTTTATTTGAAAAATTAGAACAGAAACTATTTTTTTTTCCTTTCAAGCAATTTGAAAGGAAAAGAGGATGCATATGGTCAGTTTTACAGCTGAAATAAATTTGTGCTAAATTCTCTTTTAGAAATCCTTCCAGAAAATTCTGACTATTTCTTAAGTCAGAGTGTCTTCCATTTGGTACTTTTAATAGCAATCAGACAAAATAACTATTTGAAATATGTTTTCCCAACACGAACCCTTAAATATATACACTCTGGATATACCTATTAAAAATCTTAACCCACTTTTACTAGAACATTGGATGGTATTTAGTTTTGCTTGTACTCTACATAGTTTTCTACTGTACAACTCTGACTAACCTGTACTGCAGGCTGGTCCCCGATCTGCTTGGAGGTGTGTTCATGTCTAGACGCCACCCCATGTACCTGTACTGTAGGCTCTCCCCCGCCCACCACGTGCTGACTGTGGGTGGACGATTGCATCATCACTTCTCGCTTCATCTCAAACACCTTCATCTCCGTCAAGTTCAGTTGATCTATTGACTGTAGCAAGTCATCCACTGGTGGGGCATCTGTTAAGCCATATGTTACAGTCATTTTATATACCATCAATAGTACATCCAGAGGGTTAAGTACTCCAAGAACAACAATAAATACTGATTAAATATTGAATCAATGGATTTGGGCACTCTAGAGACTAAATGGTTGATATTTATTTACCTTAAAACTAACTTTTTTAGAATTTAACACGTTTTAACATTCTAGTAAGGAGCTTCCACACTCTCTCTTTGGAAATGGGAGTGTTCCGAATCCTTCTGAGCCAATTTCGCTACCCCTTCTGACAATGTTGTTTGAATCTGCTTCTTACCTTAATAATATTTTTCTTACGGTATTTTTTTATATTTTAAACGTGCATTTAGAATAGTTTAAAGAAGGAAACACCAACCTATAAAGTATTTTAATTATTATTATTATTAATAATGAAAAATGGTTAAAAATATTTCTGATTGAAACTAAATTTTCATTTTAAAGGCTAGGTTTTATTTGATTTATATGTTTATAGAATGAATAATAACAACTACCCTTGAACTATTATGCTATAAGGTTTGTATGGATTATTTTATTTGTATTGCATTGTGTAGATTAATTATTGTACTATTAGACTTTATGACAAATTGACAAATCACATGTCAAGAAAATGTATGTAATGTGATGATTGTACATAAATGAATAACGCTTTCCTTCTCAATACTATTTTATTGAAAAAACTACATCAAACAGATTATTTGCACAACCTATCCATCTCATTAACATTATTGTCATTCTGTAGGAAATAGCCGACAGAAATCTGTTCTTTTACACTGGAGCCTCAATAACAAGATCCTTTGATAAAAAGTGTCATTTTTGAATCCTCTAAAATTTAATATACCTCTAATCACATGTTATTGCAAACCTCGATAAGAAGTCAACCTTGATAATAAGTTTTATTTAACATTTCCCATGAGAGTCTTGTTATCGAGGTTCCACTGTACACTATTAATTCATAAACGTACCTGCAACTGTGAGATCGGCTGTGCAGCTCGCTCGTCCGGCCTCGTTCTCAGCCGTGCATGTGACCTTGCCCACAAGCTCTGAGGTCACACTCGGGATGGTCAAAACCTGACGACTGCCACTGACTGAGGGAAGAAACTGTGACCCGGACACTGGTGCGTCGTTGAACAACCATCGCACCTGAACAACAATCATATGTTGTTCAAAACTTCTTCTTTTAATCCTACGCACTTAATCAATAACTTGGCTGATTTTCCATCGAACTCAGCAGACTTTTCACCTATCTAATGGATTTAATCAATCACTACCCAATCAGACCGAGAATACTTGAGAATATTTATTTTTTTATTTTATGTCAAGCATATGACTGTAATTTGTGATATGTAGACCAACAAAATAGCACTGTTAAACAGATTTAATGTACTCCTAGGAGTAAGAGGTTGTTTTTAATAGCATATATAACCTTCTTATCCTACATTTCCATTACAAACATGAGAGCAAATGAGATTCGTGTATAAAACTGGTGAGCAATTGTAAACAAAACAGATTCAATTTTCATTATGATTATCAAATTAATTTATGGATTTATTAGGTTAAATAACATGTTTACACTAGCCAAAACATTATTATTGGATTTCTGGAATAACCACCAAATGAAAATAAATTAACTGAGCCAAAATCTGTTTAATAAAATCTATTAATATTATTTTCTACAACTTTGACAATAAAATAACAACATAAAGTCTTACGGTCTTACTCATTGCATTAGTTTATGGTACTTTATAAATAATATAAGTTTTTTTTCAAAAAAATAACCACGCTAGGCCTATACAAGTTTTTCATTTATTACAGATTAATATAATATATTAATGAGTGTAACAGTCATGTAAGGAAATGAGCTGTAGTACACAATTAACCAACCAACGTCTTACAAAACCTAGGTCCCATAATATTAAAATAAAAATGAATAGCTTAGAGTTTATTCAACAATTTTATCGATCTTAGTAAGTCAATGAACTCAATGTTTACTAAGTATGATGTCACAAGCCGGGAATAACAAGTCAAGTGTTAAAAATAACTTTTGACACCTCCAACTCAGATCCTGTTACAGTGGCCAAGTGAATTACTCAAGCTGACGTCTAAACTTACAAGAATAAACTCTCTTCAACTGATTAGAGTAAGTAAAACTTAAAAAGAGTCCATGATTATTACTCTTCTGGGAGCGGAATAGTATCTTATCAGGGAAAAGTAATAACAAGTCACAAACTTGATCAAATATTGTATTCATTCAAGAGAATGCTGTTTTGGGGAATTTACCCTGAAGATAAAAAAAAAAAAAAAACTATAGATACTGGTATTCAATTGCTTTCCTATTTTTTATGTCACGGTAAATTAGTTGTAAAATTTCCTTTTATGATCAACCTCACTAGAACCCATATTAATATTACAATTATAAAATTAGCTAAATTGTAACATAGTCAAAAGAATAACATAACATAGAAATAGTCAAAATAATTAGGATGAAACATTAATTAATATATTTAGCAGAAAAATATTTTTCCAACAGCATTTAATGTTTTACCAGTAATCTCCATTAACATAAAACAAATAAAAAATCAATAGGCCTAAAAGATTTTTCCTAATTATAGTGCCCACATGTACTGGTAGTAAATAAAACCCCAAAATTTGTCAATAACTCTCATCTAAAATAACCGTTAATGAAAGTTATTTTTATCAGTGTACCTGTACAATAAGAAAATAATTTTTATTTTAGTAAACCAACTAATGAAAATAAGATTTGTTGTTAAAAAAACATAACGAAGAGGAATTACTCAATATCATCCCAAACTATGCAACAAGGTACATAAAAATAGGACTCAGTAAAGTAAGCAAAATCATAAAGCAAAGAGTGTTAAATAAAAAACACAACAAGCAACAGAAAATTAATTAAAAGTTAGACCTTTTACATATGCCAGAATTGTTTAAATTTCCCAGGTGCCGAAACAGTTAGATGCAAACTTGTCTGGAGAGGCTGACGGAATGAGTGTAAATGAGCCGGTGGAACTTACAGCTGGAAGTCTGCCATTAGATGTTCATCTCCAAAACTCGACAGTTGCGACACAATAGCAAGCTCAAGACCCGGCCAACTTTTTCACCGCATAATTAATTGTTCATTAGGACAAAATGATTCTATAAATTACTCTGTGCTCGATTGTTGCCAACAATGTAACTTCAGATTTTTTGGTCTTCAAAAACCGTTTGTTTGTTAATTTTTTTGTAAGGGTTATAGACTTATAGAAGGTAACTTACTAAGGATTGCTCTTAAAACATTACAATTAATTTGAAAATGAAATGTTTATAGGTTACATAATTTTTTTAAAATGTTTATGCCTTGAATGCCTAGAAAAAATTTGCAAAATAAGGAAACTAAACTAATAGCCCTGAAAATCAAAACACTTGAATGTTTCCTCTGATGGGTCTGATACAGATTGAAGTGCAGTTAAAATTTGTCAATAAATTATTTATGCATAACTTTTAAATATGCTTGGTTACTGTTTTGTACCTTCAGTAGAACCTCTTTTAACTAACACCAAATCAATCACAACTTCTACTTGTTTAACTGGCTACGCTCGTGCAAAAATAGAGGTTTGTTTATATGCCCTGAATTTTAAAACTGGTTGATTTAAGAAACTATGTCTAGGAATTAAGAAAGTTAAATAATTCCAATAAGCAGCAATAAAATATAATCTTGTTCATACTAATGTACTAGTTTTATATTGAACTACTTGGGAAACTTGGATCTCACTTAGTAGTCCAGTCAAGGAATGAGGTGTAGAGTGCGTGAGTTGGTAACTAAGCGATTCCTTCAGAAACTTGTTCAGGGGGCTTAGGGTGTTAACATACCAAAAGTCCTGACTCCTAGGTGGTGAGCCAGTGGGTGGAGGGGGGAAAATGGGGGGAGAAAGGTACGCATTTTGGGTTTTTTTATTATATCTCGAAAACTATCAACTTTTTGTATACTATAGTAAATTATAAAATTGAAGAAGATTAAATATTCTACAAGAAAAGTATATAATGTGTTTATTTTGGTTCAACAGATTACGAGTTATAACTTATTTAATTAATATCTTATCAAAATACTCCTTCCATAAGAAATACATGTAAATTAGTATGTGAAATGGGGCGAATCCTATCCGTCCAAAGGAAATATAACTGATATTCTGGAAATCTTGACAAAATTTCCAGTAATTTGACACTTTAATCATTAAAATTGATCCAAAATTAAGGCGAGGGCGAGGTAACAAAATGTCGAGTTTTGGTGTTTTTTTATTGGAAATATAAAAAAACCTCAAATCATCCCGTTTTTAAACCCTCACCCTCGCTTTAATCTTTGACAAAATTTCATGATTAAAGTGTCAAATTACTGGAAATTTTGTCAAGATTTCCAGAATATCAGTTATATTTCCTTTGAGCGGATAGGATTCGCTCCATTTCGCATACTAATTTACATGTATTTCTTATGGAAGGAGTATTTTGATAAGATATTAATTAAATAAGTTATAACTCGTAACCTGTTGAACCAAAATAAACACATTATGTACTTTTCTTGTAAAAAATTTAATCTTCTTCAATTTTATAATTTACTATAGTATACAAAAAGTTGATAGTTTTTGAGATATAATCAAAAAACCCAAAATGCGTACCTTTCTCCCCCCCCTTTTTCCCCCCTCCACCCCCTGGCTCACCACCTAGGAGTCAGGACTTTAGGTATGTTAACACCCTAAGCCCCCTGAACAAGTTTCCGAAGGAATCGCTTAGTTACCTGCTTACGCACTCTCCACCTACTTTTGGATCATTCATTGACTGGACTAAAGGAAAATGAAAGAAGTTTCAGTTCAAAACACATTTCATATTTCACATTCCAAACTATAAAATAAACAAACAATAATTAAATGCAAAACTTTTTACTTGGCACATCCAGAAACAATAGTTCAAAATACAACAAAAACTCACCTTGGGAGTAGGTTTCCCCGTAACAATGCACTCAAACTTGGTCGAGGCCCCCAATACAACAGATCTGTCAGCAAACAGTTCAGTGAAGGCGGGGACTGTGGGGGCAGTACGGGGCTCCTCAGTAGCAGCAGAGGCAGTGGCAGAAGTGAGGTTGGCAGCACTCTTCACTATAAGGTGGGAGAAACACTTTGCCTCTCCCAGAGGGTTGGTAGCCCTGGCTGTGTACACTCCTTTGTCTTCTGCAGTCACTGGGTTGATGGTTAGTATGCATAGCCCAGAGCTGTCTTCGTTCATCTAAGAATCAGAAAAAGTATTATAAACAGAAAACCTTACTAACAGTGACAGGTTCTCCATGATTCAAAGCTTTATAGTCTTGGGATATGTTTAATGATTCCCACTTAGTCAACTAGAACTACATTTTTAAATCTACACATATGTATTTTTTTGGAAGATATGAAAATGAAACACATTTTCAAAATGAATACACTGATATTAACTCGTAATAAGGCACATGAGAGACATCAGGAAAAAATCAACTTTCTTCTCAATTGTTCTGCTTTGAATCTTTTCATATCATGTCTTTAAGTTGCTGGTATCAGGTCTCTTAGTGGATGCCATTTCAATTTCCCGTAACTATCACTCCAACCATTGGCCGCACACATACAGGACCTCTGTCTTATTTCAGTCACCATAATGTACAGATATGTCCATTGTCTTTGCCTGTCCTATAACTGTACTTGTTTTCTTTCAGTTTTTTTTTTTTTTTTTACTACCGCACAGTTATATGTGTGATTTTTTAAATTCTCCAACTAGACTGGGTGTGTGTACTAATCTTGTCATGTTTAGGTACTTTCTCACATGAAAACATTTTGAAAAAATCATTTTATAACTAATCATGATGTAAAATATTTGCAATAATCCCTGAAATATCAATGTAATATTTTTACTAAACCTATAGTTTGTGATGAGCAAAGACAGATATAGTTCACCTTGATTCTGTCAGAAGGCAGGAGAGGGTTGTTGTTGAGAGACCATGACACACTAGGCGTGGGTTCACCTTTGACAGCACACTCCAAGGTGACACAGTCGCCCTCAGTAGCCAGAGCGTCAGTCAGTAGGGAGATGAACACAGGTGTGAGGCCGCTGGGCTGTAACTCCACCACTGGTGACGGCGGCAACTCAGGCTCAATACCTGACTCTGCAAGTTGTGCATTTGTACGTTAAAGATACAGTCTAATCTTAAACCCCAGAGTTACTTGACCTATACAACACCTAGTAGCAGAGCTTACAGCTTGGTTAGCATCCCACCTCACTCAGTTAAATTAGTCTTCAAAGCAATTTACACATTATTATGTTCTTAAGCCCCTGATTTGTATCTTGCAAGGAAACAGAGTTGTTTAACACTAGGAAAGCAAAAGTGACGCTATTTTTGCAAACTAAAGCTTAAAGGAGTTAAAAAAAAAAACAAGGAGCGGGGATCAAAAAGTTACTTTTTGGTTACAAGAATTTAGAACTGATAATTTTGTTTATCTACACATGTCAAGTAGTAACAAACAGGATTGTGTGTGGAATGAGAACGTACTTTGCACAGTAAGGTGACAAGAGCTGGAAGCTTCCCCAGCAGAATTGATGGCCACCACCTTGTACAGTCCAGCATCCTCAGGCAATGTCTCTGCTATCACTAGAGAACAGCGGTCGCCTTGGAACAGCAACTGTACCTCCTTGGACTCCTTCACAGGGACACCTTCGTGGTACCAGATCACCTAGGCAGTGGACAATATGAGAACTATCAATCGAAAGTCAAATTTGTTCAGAGCAGTTGTGATCATCATTATTATAATTTTAACAGCTGCACCCTTGCATATTAAATTGAATACAAATGCACGATGAGTGTGGACTGTAGAGTGGAGTCCCTGTATAGCTTTGTTAGGGACTAAAACATCTATTTAGCAAGGATCATGTATTAAAAACCAATTGATCAAGGGCAGCCTGATGGGTTTGAGACATAAAAATTCTGGATTCTCAGCAGTTCACAAACAATGAAACCCTTAGCTTCACACACAGACCAAAATTACTTTTTGTAGGCTACAAATGTTTTGTAACAGTTTGATGACAGCAAACAAGACATGAGGGATGCAGAGATTTTTTATTTATTGCAAACTAATCTATTTATTTTGCTGTCAATAACTAACATTTCCTGGGTTTATTATTTCATTATTTTTGATTGAACGTAATTTAAAGCATGATGTATTTTAATTCCATTATTAAAACATCGGAAGGTTTAAAATCATATAATAACACTTCAAAATTGGATTTAGTTTGTAGGCCTACAATATAATTGTACTATATTAAAATAATAGGCTAGCTATTTTATTTTTGAAATTTCTCACCCAGTACCATATAAAGCAAAGGATTTAAATGAATCAATAGATATGCACCAAAGACGTGCGTTGATGTACCTAAGTGAATTAGGATCAAATAGCTCCTCTTTGGGCATGTGATAAACCAAAACCATATTCATAGACATTTATTTCCCATACAACTTTATCATGCATAAATTTCATCTTGTTCTTTCTATTTCATAGATTTTACAGAGACTAAACTTGCTAACCTACAGACACCATCCTAGCTAAATAACCAACTGAGCTTGATCGGTAACAACAAAAAGGCTGTGAATCATGCTGATGTGTCAATATTGTATCAACCGTACATACCTCTGGCTCAGGCTGGCCTATAATGACACACTCCATACGAGCCTTGCCTCCCTCAAACACTGCCGAGTCCCTGAGCGGAGTAGGTATGGAGGGTTTTGTAGGCTCCAAGTCACTGGCCATCTCTGAGTCTGACGTCTCCGTGGGAAGCCGACCTGAAACACATTACAGATTATAAATTGTTGCTAAACAACTTTCATCGATTAACCAAACAATTGATGTTGAAAAATTAATGTTGTTTGCACCTATAACAACTTCCAAATTCACCTTATTCTTGTTTTACATGAATGATTATTTTAAAAGCTATATAAAATTAAAATTCACAATAGTAGTTTGAAAATGTTTGATATGAAAAAAAAACTGCTATGTACATCTAACTCCCAAATTAATTTAGGAAGATTCAAGATTGCCAATCAATATTAATAGTTGGCACCCAATTTATATAATGTCTGGAATTAGGGTGGAGCAGCTCTCACTTGTTTCACTATATATGATAGAATCCCCAACAATGAACAACATCTATGTGTTGTGAGATAATTAAGAGTTTTGGTTACTCTGACTGATAACTGACTTTGTTGAATCCATTAGTGCATATAAACATACTTGAAAAATCAATAATAAACCCATTATCAAAATGAGTAATTAACGAGTATGAAAACTACAGGGTGGCCGAAAAGTCCCTTTACACGATATTGCAGTACGTATTACCGTTGTATTACACTGTTATAAACACGACTGATCAGCAAATACTCGTAAAATAGTAGTAAGGGAACAGTGGGGGGAGAGAATGAAGCCTCACTCTCCCTTCCCAACCACCCTAAGACGCGGCGACACCCAGTAGAGTTTGCACGAGTCACCCCAGAAATGCTGAAACGAATGAGTTAACGAGCTTGGAGTCGAGTCAAGCTTTGCCTAGACAATGGAGGTATGCATGTCGATGTTTTGGCCTAAAATGATGTTCAGTTGGTGTAGTCCACAATACATTTATGATTAAAATAAATTTCTATTCTTTTAATCAATACCAATTGAATTTACATTTAGTGTAAAGGGACTTTTCGGCCACCCTGTATGTAGACAAATAAAAATTAACTTTAAAAGCCCAGGTCAAATTTCCCCAGCATGATAAATAAAATACACTATAAACTAGATTAGATAATAATATGGTTTTATATTGCCAAACCCAGTCAGCCGTCAAAGTTTTGAAAGAGGAAAAGGTTTTAAATACTGGTGCCTAAAAGTTGCAGTTTGTTGATAGAATAAAGATACTGATCTTACTTTCAAACAATCATTTTACAATCAAAATGGTATTTTTGTGTTGTTTTTAGCCATCCTCAAAATCAAATAACCTGTATCACTAAAGCATTTGATTAGCTAGATATTATTTACAGTCCAATGACAACCTTTCTAGTTCACATTAATTATATTTAAAAAAATTGAGTATTCCATACAGATCTGGAAAGTAGAAACCATAATGTTCTATGTACAGCTAGGTCCTACCTTTAACTGTAACTGTACATGAGCCAGTGACACTACCAGCAGAGTTGGTAGCAGTCAGACTGTACGTCCCAGCGTCCTTTGGAAAAGCTTCTGGTATTGTCAGCACTATCTTGCCACTCTGGTATTGCACCTAGAGAAAGTAAAACAATCTTTAGAAACCAATGTGAAATTTAAAACCATCACACAATATACATTTATAAAATGATACCAATTTTAGTTGTAACATACATATACAATACAAAACTATGAAAATCATTTATCAAATTTTGTTTTTAGTTGAAGGTATCCAATAACCTACAGGAGCTAATTTATTTGCCAGGGAAGCAAGTTTGAATCTGAAACCATCGCATTGTAGACAGATAATTGTAGACAGATTAGATATTGTATTTTTTTGACATTTATTTATGTATTACATGTATCTTTTGACAGAACAAATATTTGTTGCCTTGTTATTTTGTTATTGCTTGTTAAGTTTGACGATGTCTATTACAATATGTGTATATTGTTGAAGGAATAAAGAATTTGTCTATTGTCTATTGTTCTTCATTTCATCACTATTATGGCTGGTCACAATTCCTAAGTGATGATTAATCTCACTTAAGAAAAAGGTATGCCCCGTTTTCTGTGAAAAGGTGTTCAACCCCCCTTGAAATCTATTGTCAGTTGACGGATGTATATGCAAAAACATGTTAAGAGTCCTAAAAATTTCCATAACTGGACCTAAAACCCTGGTAGTGGCATAGGGAGGTTTCAGAGAGCCGTTCACATTTGCTACACGAGGCCGGCAGCGGATGTTCATAAGTTTTCATCAAGAGCTTAAAATTGATGAAACTTTAAGCCCATGGCAACAGTGATAAGGAACGGTGTAATTGAGGAAAGATAGTAATTGACCATGTCCAATGCAAATCGCCATCAAGGCTCTGAAAGATTACCAAGAACCTTAAAGTATAGGACAGGAAGACCTCTGGAATGGGATGAAGTAGAGGTTGCTTTGTGTAAGAGAAGCATCTACCGCAGACATAACCTCAACATCAACTAGTGAAAGAGGACAGTTCCAAGTGTGTATAGTTGACTCACCTTGATATCCCTCGCCTCAGGTAACATCTTGCCGTTGTGGTTCCACTGCAACTGAGGCTCGGGGCTGCCACTGACCTCACCCTCCAGCTTGATCTTCTGTCCTGCTCTAGCCATCACATTGGACAATGGTGTGACAAACACTGGCGCCGTGTCTGATATCTTTGCTGAAACCGCAAGTCAAAATGGTTGGATGGTTTAAGGTAAAAAATAAATAGTTGGCTTGTCAGTTAGAATACTTCTCCATAAATTGCTGGGATAAATTTCATTCGTTAACTAAGTATGTAAATAGCCAAATTTTAATATTAAGCATATCTCCCCCATGGAGCTTTATTTTTCATTTGAGATAAAATTTGCTCTTCGTTTTTATGGGTTGTACCAGGGAAACTAAACTCATTATTAAGTAACAAGAAAGTAAAAAAATTTGATCAGTATGACAATTTTGCCTGGGGCCCCAAAATGGGGTATTTTGGGGGCAGCTCAAAATTGTTTAATATAAAGCCCCATCAAGTGACACCTCATTTTGAAGGTCTTTAGTTAAATAGAATATCGTTTAACTGGTACAACTTCAGGGGGGGACTATTATGGGACACCCATATAATTAATTGATGATAGTAAAATTAAAATTTTTGTCATGGCTACTGCACCATTTTCAAGTGATTAAAGACAACCCATGATCTCTGTGAGTAATGAAATAGGAAATTTTATATATTCAACATTGACTTCACAATTCTTCCTAAAGAAAAAACACATTGCACATTGTTCAGCACTATTTTTGTTATTCATGACTTAGTAATTACAATTTAATCAAAGCAATATCTAGACAAGAGAAGTGGCTTACGTTGAATGGAAAGCGAAGCTGCTGTGGTCTCTGAACCAATCCTGTTTGTCGCCTTACAACTGAAAACTCCCTGAAATCAACCAAGAAATTTAATATTTTGTTTCAGGATCAAGGAACTATTGTGTTTTTATAAAAAATTACAAACAAGTAAAAAAAAATGGATCAAGCACCCTTCTGAACAAAAAAGAAGACAACACCAGCTCTACGATTTTCAAATTAATAAGGCGTTGAAACTAACAAAATTTGAAACAATACAGAGATCAAAGCACCTGCCCGACCAATAAGCTGGAAAGCTCAAACTATCCTAAAATGTTGAAATGCCCGAATTCCTTCACTCCTAATCCAATAAATTAAACGGATGAAGAAAGACCTCCCGGCATGTCTCCACCACGTGTTTAAATATTTTTGTAAATATATAGACTATAAAGTGTTAGTGATAAGAAGATAACTTAAATAAGACCCCCTAAGATGCCACACAAAATGCATAAGCTGATACAAACATTTTACTAAAGAACACAGGTAACAAAAAAATACCCCCGCCGCAGCAAACCTGCAGACTAAGCGAATTTCCATTTGACTGATTGGATTTACACTGAAATGTCTACTTTAAAATATAACATTTATTCTTGATTTAAATAGAATTAGTTTAACAAGTACTTAGGTTTGCTGCATCAGGGAGGGTAAAACTGTTTTTTTTTTTTTTTGTAAAATGTGAATAGTTAGTAAGAAATAAAAACATTTTCCAAATTTGATCAAAATATGTTCACAAACAAGCAAACTACAACAGTTTACTTATTCTCCATAAGAATCACATGGGAATTTTAAATGTACAATTTTTTGGTATTTTCTCCGTAACCATTAGGCGCATAATAACGCTTCAATATACTAACTTATTTACTTTTTTTAAGCTCTACAAAATGGTTTGGAAAGAAATTGCTAAATTTTATGTTTTTTGGGTCAAAAATGGGAAAAACCTATTTTTACCCCATAAAACCCCCCCCTAAACCCCCGTTCCCATGGTCCGATCATGCTGGATCGCGAACTCGTTTGAATAAACGTACGTTTACACGTTTGTACCAAATTTCATCAAAATCGGATCATTTTTGCTCGAGTTATCGTGCTGACGGACATATATATATATATATATATATATATATATATATATATATATGAATTTGAACGGATGGTGTTTTTGGCCTCTAGGGACCTCAAAACGAAAAAAAAAATCGGTCCCGCGTCCAGGTCTTACCATGAGTACTACGGTAATAGCTTATTCCCTATATGGGAAATTCGCTAAAAAGGTAATCTAATTAATCTAATATAAAAAAGATGTTACTGAAAATAAAATTGTCATAAGCAATAATGGGTAGTTTATAAATACTGTAATGTATTATCATAGTAACCTGATCATGTTTGGTTGCTTGGTCCAAGGCTAGCACAGCTTCACCGTTGTTGTAGGTAATGGTGTAGCGAGGTTCTGTGTCCACACACAACCCATCTCTGAACCACTGTGAGTGAGAAAGATTAATACTAGATGACACTACTACAATTTATACATATCTCTCAACATAGCCTTTTTTTAAATCTTTTAATTCAACTAAGCTTTTGTTATACAACAGTAAATTTGCGAAGAAAAAAATAAAACAATGTATTTTTATGACCATAATTAATCATAAATGAACTGTAAATATTGCTCCTGCAATCACTTTTGCCATCTTCATGGCGGGCGACACATGAAATGTCTGTGATTATCTGCCAGGATCACGTTCTTTTTAATTCATGAAGATCTCGAAACAACACCACAAACAGGCAAAACATATGTTGCAAGTAAAATTTGACACTATTAGATGTTAAGTATTGTCTGACAAGATATGTTTTTACCATTATTAGTCATAAAACACAATCCTGGGGCTATCAATATGAATTATAAGATTACTTCGTCACAAAAACATTTCGTACTGGTGGTATTTAAAGTATCGTAGGTATTTCGCCCGGCGATTTTCGTAGAAGGCAGCTTAGGAGTGGCGAGCAACCCCTCCTAGTATGGCTTATTTTGTAAGTCTGTTTTCAACATATGTCTAATTTTGGAACAAGATACTTTTTGCTAAAAGTATTATTCATACCCTTAAAGTTGTTTGAATTGTAAAAATTTATGCTACCTAATATATTGTACAGTACTGTGTTGGAGTAGAGTAATGCACCGACTACATTTTTGAACGTTTTGAAGACATTACCTATTGCAATACTGAGAACATGTTGGCTGACAATACAGATTCTGAATTTTAAATTGAAAAAGTTCCAATTCGTTTATTGGTTAGATATAATTTTGTATTGTTAAATGGCATTTCCTATTAAACATTTCATTTTGTTTGTCAGCAAGTTTTTCTTTACCTCAACCTTGCTAAATCTTGTTATCAAGTGGCCAGGCACCTAGCCGGTCATTAATACTGAAATGTAATATTATAAATTACATAACTTTACAATCAACTCTTCAAAAACCAAAAACATTTATTTCAGTAGCAAACTTAACAATGATGGTGTCTAGTGTCCTATTGGAGTAAATATCTTGGACAGTTCCTGGGTTTCCATGTTCAAGATTCAGATTTACAGCTCAAAACTTGTTGTTCAAATTAAAAGATGTCCAAATAACATAAAATCTTAAAGTTCTGTTCTGTTCCTTTAGTTGTGGAAAGTGAGTTTGCGCCTTTTATACTGCAGATTCTACACCACTTCTGCTTGCTTTGTTTCCCATTTGCTGTCTTGGAGACTGGGTTGGACTCTTCGATTCAGTGGTATTTATGGTTCCTACAAATCTGGAAGTAGTCAACGATGGCTAGGCAGAAGTAATATAGCGCCATTCTTTTTGTCAGCTGCACTTTAACTTGAATGAAAAAATCGTACAAGACAAATGCTTTGTTAGTTCATGGATGAATATTTTCTTCCTCAAAGTTTTGTGTTCACATGAGTAGAACATTGTCATATTCATAACATGCATATTTGATTGCGTCTTTTATTGTTTGAGCTTCCATTTTTGGCTATATTTTGGTTTCAAAAGCAACCTCCATTCGAATATTTCTTGGTCAGTATTTCCATTTTTTGTGCTTCATGTCTTGTTTTGATTATCAGTCTCCGTTTTCCTTTATCTGCAGCACCTTTCTTAAACTTCTACCAGAAGCCGCCTCTGGCAAATGTTGGAGATCCGGTAGGAAGCCTTCGGAACGCTATTGGCTGAAGTACCAGGGGCAGGGGTGTCCGAACATCCGTAGGCCTAGATGGAAGTAGCGGAATTGGCACTCTGAATACTTCCCCCAATAACGTACCTAAGAGCATCATACCCAAATCTAACAACATTCCAAAAAACAAAAAACAAACAACTTACGAAATGTGTAGAATCAGAAGAGAAAATTTGGATAAAATTTTAAAATAATATTGACAGGTAAACAATTTGTTTCACAAATGTTCCTTTCTTACAAATAATAATGTACACTCATGATATAATTTATTTTTACTGTTGCAAATAAGATTTCAAAGTGTTTCTTCTCGTTTTACCTAGATAGGAAAAATATTTTTGTTTTGTACCTTTAATTAAAAATAGGGTTAATAAATATGTTGAATCAAAATAATATAAAAAAATCTTATTTTATAAAATTAGGCTAATTATTTGCTGAATTTGTAGTATGGATTTTTATATTTTTACATTAAGTATCTACTTCTCTTTGTAATTTAACATGAAAAACAGTGCCTTTCCTCAAATCTTTTTTTAAAATCTAAATACATTTTGTCTTGTCTCGAACTAGATATTTGTTCTCACTGTAATTAAATTATATTTTGTACTTAAATAAAATATTGGGATATCCAAACTTACAGCCATACAAACAAATTATAATTGTAAAATATTAAAGTATCACAACTATTAATAAACTTCCCAATATATTTTGTGATATTGTCGACTGTAGATTCATAACATCAATTTTTTTCCCAAATTCAGACATTTTTTCCAAAAACGTAAAATCATAGATTGTGTAGCTTTTAACTTAAATGAATTTACTTGCCAGACTTGAAATGTTTGTTATATTGGGTAAAGGAAAATTGCCAAGTAAATTGGTGGGGGGAGGTTTAAATAGAAAAATTAAAATAGGGGGAACTGCTCCTCTGGCTTGGGGGGGATGGGCACCTCTGAGGAGTGTGGTTAAAGAATGGGTGTTCAGCCATAGGCTATTAGGGATTATACTATATTTATTGGCAATTATTCGGATTATCACGACTCTGGTGCACTGTCAATATTCTGTTCTATCTAATCATACAATGTAGTTTCATGATGTGGTAGCCTCTCGATCCCTAAATTTAAGCAAGATGGTTTAGGTTACCTGGCTTCATCAAGTGATCCTTGTTTTTAGTAGTACACTGCTATATAGTTTTTTTTTACTACGTGATAAAGTGTTGATGGACATCTTATAAGAGTCCATCATCAGGTGACATAATCATCTAGTCATCTATCCAAATTTGGTTAGATCTGTCAATATTGAGTATATAGTAGCCTGAAACTATATAGGCCTAGTAGTGTACTACTAAAAACAAGGATCACTTGACAAAGCCAGGTTACCTAAACCATTTTGATATAATGTAGCCTGAATACATCATTTAAACAGTTCAGAGTAAGTCCTTAACACACTATTTTACAATTACCAGTACTTCTTTAATTTATTTTGCATAAAAAGGGTCAATTTCATAATCAGTTTGACAACTTTACCATGATAACTAAATGTATAAGTAACAGAAGTTACTTCTCACAATAATATGGTCAGTGTACCTGTACAGTGGGCAGTGGAGTCCCCTCCACCACACACACTAGGCTGACTGGACTGTCCTCCTGTGTCGTCAGAGGTGCCAGGGGTCGTACAAACACTGGCGCACTCTCTCGCTCATTCTCTGTAACAAAATGTTTAAGCTTGTTATAATTATCAAACTAATTGAGTTGGTAAAATAGTTTGGGTTCCTGGAGACTCAGGGCATTAAGGGAATGAGAAAGATGATGCACTGGCCAGGAGCTCAAAGGGCCAGAACCCTACTGTGGTGCCCCGATTAGTTCTAGAGTAGCTAAAGTCCGAGACTGGGTAAAGGTCAAGAAGGCAGAGGCCTGGAGGATCAGCCCAGAACTAAGGACCTCAAAAAAACTTATAGACCCCTCAAGGAAAGATTGAAATGGCTTACTGAACATAAAAAATGGGGACATCAGATTACTAGTTGGGATGCTAACTGTTCAAGGCCATATTAGGAAACATCTTAGAACCACTGGAAGGACACAGGCAGACCAATGCAAGTTCTGCAGAAACGATGTGGAAACCCCTAAAGACTTATGGCTGGACTGACCGGCTTTGGACCTAAAAAGGTTTAAATCTCTGGGATGTTGGACTTTCTCTCATGATCTATATATAAGCAAGCATGTGACTATTATTTTTATTTCAAGTCATATGTTTATGTTTTTATATTTGATTATTGCCTTTGTGTTTTACCATTGACTATTAACTATTAGTTTTACTTAGTTCAATTAATCAGCTTGATAAAAACACTCCTAATCATCAGCCATTTTGTAATGCCTATTGCTTAATACATTTATCACTTTGAAAGTAATAAAACTTGGTTGATATGTAAAAAACTACTTTCAATGGCCATTGAGAATATCTAACCTCGAACAGTGAGCAGAGCTGTAGTTTCCGCATAGCCCAGCGTGTTGGTAGCCCTGCAGGTAAAGCAGGCAGAGTCTTCTGCGAAGGTTTCCTCGATTGTCAGAGAACAGAGTCCATCGTCCTCCTCGCGAGTGTGGTAGTCTAGGTTGCTGCCTATAGAGATGTTGTCTTTCAACCAACATATCTCAGGCCTTGGAATTCCAGTCACTCTGAAAACAACAACATGGTTTTGGTTTTGGATGTAAATTTTTAAATAGAAAACCTTTGTAGTGGGAATTTTTTAGACAAGTAAATTAAGTAAATAAATAAAAATAGTAATATATTCTTACAGAAAATTATTACATATTTTTATTTTTACATTCCGATACAATGAAAATATAGACTACACCTATTGTCCCATTTTTATGAAATTTGGTGTGAGGGTACCAAACTCACCGTATCTTCAGGGTTTTTTCATGTTTTTAATTTCAACTTAGTTTAGTGATTAGTACATGGATAGTGATTAGCCTAGTATGTTTAAATTATTTTAAAGTACGCACACACACACGTACACTACATTAATTTGTTCTTTGAGTCAGCCAATTGGATGAAAATAATTTGTAAATTAATCTGGAAGCTATTAAAAACTAGATCCTACTTTTTCTTCAACCCCCTTCACTAGTTAACGTTTCATGAATGGCAACAAATTTCACAATGAATGCAGAATACACTTCAGCCTACCTGCACTCAAAGGTGAAGCGACTGCCTTCATCAATGGTAGCATCGTAAAGTGGAAGTGTGAAGTTGGGTGGCAGAGGCTCTGGCTCTCCGAGTTTGACTTTCTTGAGAGGAGGGCTTGGAGTCTTACGTGTAGGAGCCTCTTCTATGGGTAAGGCTTCTTGTAGACCCACAATTTCCTGGGTAACACATTGTAGGTTAGAAGTAAAAAAGAATATTTTATATCTGTCAGCTCTGATAGATCCCTGGGTAGTTAGTGTTTGTCAGATGATTGGAAGGGTGCCAGTCAAAACCTGTAAGTCAAAAGCTTTTAGATGGTTCAAAACTGAACCCGGCTGTTCTTAGTATAAACAAGGCTATACAGGTTGTCACTCTACTCTCACCCAGTAATTTTATTCAGCTTAATACACAGCACACACACACATGAGTATCGCCGCCTCAACAAATTGATTAAGGAGATTGAAAGAATATGGTACTCGATCACACTGTGGTCAGAGACAATATTGGATGGTCAAAAGAAAACATCAATGGTAAGAAGTTAGAAGAACTATAAACTTCTCATACAGCAGGATAAGACAACATTTATAAATTTCAACAGAAACAATAGAGCAACATTGTTTCTTTTTTTACACTTAACATAGTTTTATTGCAGGGACATGATGGTATAGACTTGGATTTGAACCCCGGGAAAATGTTATCTACAACAAAAAATTTTTGAAAATTGAAAAGAATAATCTAAATGTAAATATAATATTTTAAAAAACAAAATTTTTGTCTATTGCACAAAGTGCAAGGAATATCAAATTTATTTTAACTATCAATGTAATTCATCCTCATTTAAACCCGCAATGTGATATGCATTGAATGAATTTTTAAATATCTGTAATATTGTAAAAATAACACTTTATTACGGCAGTGATAATTTTATCAAACACACAAACTAACACCAAAAATATTACAAAGGTAGTGAAGAAAAATAAAAAAAAAAGTGAATTACAAATATTTTGTGGAGACACCATCGGATCATGTCGCCAGCGGACACTGCACCCGGACGTTGCCACTGCACTGGGAAGACACAAATGTTCTCAGCAGACTATTGTGGCCGTGAATCACCTGGTTTCGAGCCAAACCTTGCACCATCCGATCACATACCGTTGACTCGACGACAACGCACAAACAAACTCCTACACCTAACTACCGGGCAATGCGTCTACCTCAGAGGTGTTTCACACTAAACAGCGTGACAGGTTGGCAACCAGTCTAGCGATTTTGGCCAACAATCAGCTGATATGCTAAAAATATATCTTAGCCAACAGATGTCTCCAATTAATTTGGGCTTGTGACTAATTTTAGTGTTGTTTTCTGCTGCAAGGGTAAATATGGCATTTATTACTCTGTTGTTCTTGTTTAAGTAAGTATGATAAAATATTTGATTATTTAGTGTGATTGATTTTATAACGTATTAGTTATTTATTATTTTAAGTTATCGTTGTTTTAGAAGTGAGTCATTCTAGGTGCACATGGCTAAACTATTACCCATCTATACCTGGTTGATCCAAGACTTAGTACACTGGGCAACTTTTTTTGGGAGTAACTAACAATTTTTTTCTTCCTTACATAACAAGCATTATACATTTTAAGCAGCATAAAAAATAAGTTTTGGTCAAACCCCATATTTTATTAACAAGAGAGAAACATTGAAATTCATATATATATATATGAGATCATGATAACATATTATGTTTACACAATATTCTGTTAAAACAAATCAAGGAGCCATAAAAAAATCAATTGGAATTTGACAGGTAGGTTCGGCCCTAAGGTTCTATCTGGTTCAAAATACTTTAGTGATGTAGGTCTCTATGATTGAGATAAATTATTAAAACTATTTTTTTTTATAAATCTAAATCTAAACATAACTTATTTAGTTACCTTCTGCTGTTCTTCTGGTGGTTTGTTGAGGAAGTTGATTATCTGTTGCAGTTCCAAACTGACTTGTGAAAAAGAGTCAATCATTTCTCGGCTCTCAGACTTAACTTGGTTTATGTGATCAGGCTTACCTCCTCCTAAATAAAAAAAAGATCTTTAAAAAAACTCTTAAACTATTAATGAAACAGAAGATTACTTTATAAAGAGTAAAATAAAGAAAAATGGGAACAAGCCAGAGAAGAACACTGTACAAGGTTGATTGATGTTCTTCTATTGAATGTCTGCAATCTGCATGCTCCTCAGAAGCCATATAAAACTGAATATTAGTTCAGGAGTGGTATCAGAGTTATAGTATCTGCAGAGCCTGAGTTTGTATAATTAATTATGACTAAATCTTTCAACAAATGTGACAAGTAACAGTAAACCCGGACAATATGCTGTTTTTGCAGCGAGGTTACTTGGGTTCAGGAAACCCTGAGCATGCTAAAAAAAATCTACCTGAAAGTGTAGCTGGTAAACAGCTTCTGGTACAGTCCTCATCAACTTTTTGGAAATGCAAAATATTTACTGTCAGAAACACGCCTAAAAGACTTTGGTACAACCATTTCAGATGAGATCTATCTATTACTAATATACAAACCAAGTATGAAATACACAAAGCAACACTTACCGTAAAGTTTGATAGCAATGGCAGATATGTTCTGAATCCGTTCATCCTGCTTGGACTCGCCAGGTTTGAGGAAAAGCTCAATCTCCTGCAGCAGTTCATTGGCTTCCTCAGGAGTTCTGATGGTGGATGACCTCTTGGCTATGGTCATCAGCAGCCTACTGCCTTCTCGGAACCAATCTTCTGCCTGAAGTAACAACATAGTATATTTATAGTATTAATATATATCTGTTTATTTTAAAGACATCCACTATCAAAACAATTGTGTACAGGCTGTAAACATTTTACACAGATGATTTTCAAAGCCTTTTAGGGTGATGGCTGGAAGGAATGAAAGTTACATGGCAGAGGTAATTCTTTTACACAAAAACTTTGTTTAATTGGTACCCTTAAATATCTGAATTCACTAAACAACATTTTTAATATATAAATAATAACATATTTTTATTAGATTTTCAAGTTTTAAGAGACAACCTTTTCACATAGCTAATGCTTATTTTGAGCCAATATGGTGGGCTTTATTTTGTTTATCCAAAGGTAGTTGTTTTTCCAAACAATTCAACTACCTATACTGTACTTGCAGGCAGGAAGTCAGGAGAACTTCAGTAAAATCATGCAACTCAAATCAGCTTGGAAGACATTACTAGGTGGTTCTAACCTCTTCTATCAGAGCAAAGTACTGCAGGCTGAGATCAATCATCTTGCGAGTGTCAATGACTTGTTCATGGAACTGATGCCACCGTGTACGCAGGGATAGCAGCTCATGCTGTATGTGAGGGGAGGAGGAGTGCTTACTCTTCAACATGGCGTCTCCTGCACCCATGAAAGTCTCTATCCTCTGCTCGAGCAACTGTAAAAACATTCAAACATTTAATACAAGATAAAAGGTTTCATGTTAAAACCATTTCACCATTGTCAAAATTTGGTCTTCGAGATAGATGACTTTATAGTTTAACTGGCAAACATACTGGCTCACATGTCGAATATGTTACAGCCCCTCTCAGCCAGGTCTGGAGTGAAACTCTGCAGTGAAACTGACAAGTTCCCTGTGTGTGGCTGAGCTTGGTGAGTGGTAACCTAAACAGTGGCGTACCGATGGGGGGGTGGCGGGGCGGTCCGCCCCAGGCCCCACACCAACATAGCCCCCCAAATCAGGGCCGTATTCCCCTAACTTCGAACACGGCCATTGCCGAGGGCCTCTTGATCTAGGAAGGGGCCTTACTTGGGTCTCAATAATTGTAAAATAAATTGTTGCTGTTGAATATAATAATCTGTTCTCACAATCACCGGAAGCGTCTGCAAAGATTGCGCGATCGAAAATCACGACTCCCACCAATAGCGGGTGACGATAATAAGGTCTCGCAACCACAAAAGATGTTCCGTGTTCACGATTTCGCCGTGATTGCGGGGGACGACAATGTTGTCCACGCGTTTGACGGAGATGTTAACGATATCGGCATGTAGAATATTTTCCTGCGTCCGCGAAAGATGTTCACTATTCCACCGTAAACATAGGACATGTATGATTGCTCCACGGTCTCGGAGATAACCCGCGCAACCGCGGGTGAAGGAGATTTCAACCCCACAAACACGGACGCTCACGATTTCGTCTTCACTGAGGACAATATCGTTCTTTTTTGCCCCGATCACAGAAGTCGTTTGGACCAATTATAGTAAAATATAATTATATAATGTATTTTTATACAAAAATAGTAGGCCTATCTCCTAAATAAAAAAATCGAAAGAAGTGTCAGAAATAAACCTGATTTGTGTTACTTCTTGGAGTGCTCGTGCTTATTTCGAATCTCCAACTCATAAAAACTTAAAATGTTAAAAACTTAAAGGAAAATTTAATTTAGCATCATTAAATTTTTTTCAAATACAAAAATAGATTACATATTTAATAGTTTAAGTAGGCTCATTTAATCAGTGATACAAAATACATTAAAAGCATATATTTCTTTTTAGTTCTAATCACTGTTTAGGGTTACTTTTTTAATAAACACCCCTGTTTAAATAATTTTAATCATAAAATGACTTTAAACAGGGTAGGCCTACTATGGTATTTATTATTTCACTTGTAATGTATGTAAAAAAGGCCCTCTCATCTAAGCCGCCCCAGGCCCCCAACAATAACAGTACGCCACTGCACCTAAAGTAGGCCTATATGGTAGATGGTTTTGTAAAAGTTGATGCAATGTGCAAGTTCTCTGTGAGTCTGATGTACATTATCTAACAGATTATTGTACATTTTATATTACGAATAGTATAAACAAAGTTTTCACAACATTTTGGGATCTTTAATATACTCTGATGCTCTACTCACCTCAATTGTTTTCTCGAAGTAGTGGAAGGCCAGTGAGGTCGCCTTAGCTGCAGCCAAGTTCTCGCCGTACTGACCCTTGACCTTGGCCAGCTGCTGACCCAGCTCGTCCAGGTTGCCATGGATGTGACCCAAGTCGCAGTCAAACTGTGCCAGTTGCTGCTGAGACTCCAGCGCCATCCGGTGCTGCGCCCAGGCTCGCTCCCACGCAGACCGTAGACTCTCCAGGGTACGCGCCACTTGCTCTGTATCTCTATCCGCAGCTCTGTCTGGCTCCTGATGACAAATTATACAGTTTTACAACTTTGTACAGTATGAAATATAAAATTGAAATATTCTTAAAACTAAGTATGCTTCCACAGAACAAGTTTTATACTTGGCAGAAGAGTGTTTTTTTCTCAAAGTTTTTGAATAGACCTAAACTATGACGAGACTAATTGTCCCATAAAGGTAAAAGTGGCAAAAGAGTAGTGTCTGAAGTAAATAACACAATGTCAGCCTCATATTTTAACTACCTCTCGCTTGGCTATATGTGAGCTTGAAGGATAGACCTCAATTTATAGACAGCCCTCGTACTTTGAAAGTAGGGCACAGTGAAATGTACATGCTGGATGAGTATGGGTTTGCTGACTTAGATTCAGAGCATCAATCAAAGGTAGCAGTGCTGCAGAACATTGAAAATTTTCATCTTAAACTCCGCTGGTATTGTATACAATAAAGAATTATCCAGAGTGGATTTTACATGCTTGAAAACTAAAAGTGAAATATACATTGTGTATTTCTGAACTAATTCAAAAAACTATTTTCAAACAACTTAAAAGACAAATTAGTCAAATACATTTCACTTGCCTGTTGTCGTATCCTAGCTATCAGCTGTTGGCTCTCTGTTTGAGCAAACTTGAACAGTTCCTGGATGGCTTGTCTTGACGCATCATGTTCCCTCAGTGCCTTCTCCACATCAGCCAGTGTTGTGGATGAAGAAGTCTTCAGCAGACTATCATACTGGCCCTCCAGTCCTTGCACTGTGTGCTCCAACTGAAATGTGCAAATTGGAATTATTTAGGAATGACAAGCTTTACCACTTGGGCTATACCATATAAGTTAAAGATGGTCAATTAAGGTCCATTGTTTGCAATATGTGATTTGTTTGGGATTAGTTTTGCTGTAAAGAGTAATTTGGCTATCAAATTATTATTGCGATCAGGAGGCAAAAAACAACAAAAACATTTCTCGAATTGTTATTTTGCACCTGTTAAAAGCCACAAAAGCAAACAACTGCATAGGTACAGGTACAGTCATACTATTTACCATTGCATAACCATGAATTGCATGGGTTTTACTCTGTTGCCACAGTAAAAAGAAAACTCAGAAATGGTTCCATTTATATTGCTGGTGATAATAGAGGTTGATTTCAGCCGAGTACCCCAAAAAACTTGTAAAAAGTCTGATTATTTACAAACGAGCATCTTTACAGCCAATCATTGACAACATGAGGTTGAATGCAAGATTGGCTAGGTCATTGTGTGATAGTCAGTCAGCCCCATTGAAAGTTTTACAATAAAAGCCAAAACTTTGTTCAATTAATTAATTTGATTGTGATTATGGGGATGTAACTGCAGTCTTTATTCTGATTCTTCACTCTTTGGCACACAATAACTAACCGACTGAATTCCCTAGACTACTGGTGGTAGTTTACATGGTACCAAATTCTGTAACCTTATGTGAGCCAAATCAACCAGGCCTTACAGCTAGACAAATTTTACAAATTTAACCTGATGTTGCCACAATTGTTCATCACTAATGATTTTTAACATTGTTTATTTTTTACGACTGTCTTCATAGCAAAGTAAATTAAGGTTATGAAAGTAGAATAAGTTGTACACTCACCTCTGAAAGGTTCTTGAAAAAGGTTACAAACATCTGCACCAAAACTTGGTAGTCCGTCACTACTTGCTGTAATCTGTCTTGCAGTGCCTTCAACTGACTGAGTACTTCACTGTCTCTCTGATCAACACCACCTGAACATCAACAGAATTTGATAGAATGAAATAATTATGACTAGCTGTGTGCCCGTTCTACGCACGGGGATCTTATCATAGTCAGTTAAAACCTTCTTATATAAAGCTCAGCAGTTGGTTTGCATACTTTCAGATATGCTGACAAAACTATTCCTTCGCAAATACAGTATCTGACAGTTTCAAGTCAAAACTAATGCTTCGCAATTAAATGTCACCCGGATCTTGTTGGTCCATATGTTATATCCAATGACTAAATAAACGGTATCAGCATTCTGACACATACTTTCTCCCATAAGTTTGTCAACAACCTTTATCATGCGTAAGCGGTGAGAGTAAATATACGGAAATGGGATTTGTACAATTTTGTTCAGAATTTAAAGGACGATAACATAATGGTTAAAAGTATTTAAGGTACTACCTCAACCTCTTAATTTAACACTTTATTCGGGTTGACATTTTCATTATCAAGGCGCTCTTGTCCTTTCCGTGAAACATTGAGAAACAAGGACATTAATGCGTTACCATCATACATACACACAAAAATACCGAACTTAATTAGGGAATCTGCTACGCTTTAAGCATAAAAAGGTACATATAAAATTAGTACTTGAAATCTTTGTTAATGCCATAAAATTTGATCATAACAATTTATATTTGCTTGGACCGGAGATGACTCAAAATTCTGTTGAAATGCTATCTGAATCGGTTTACTATATGAAATGAAGTACAGTAGGCCTACTATAGACGATTTAGATTGGTAATTTGTAATAAAAATTACCAAAATAGGCCACGAACTATTGATACATAAACAACGTTCAAAGTGTTTGAACGATTCATGATGGTTTGCTGAATAAATGTTTTGCTAAAATGCGTTATAGTTTTCTTAGCATAACATTTTGGATTCCAGACAGAAAAAGCAAAAATTATACAGTTAAGACATCAGTTAAATTGAATAGGCCTACGCCTGTAATAAATAAGGTGCAACACCAACGATAACTAATTTGTAAATTACTGTGATGTGTTGGTACGTAAAAATGATTCTTGCTGCTACTAAAGGTTAAAAGGAAAAGAACCAGTACCGTACCAAAAACCAACGTTTACAGTTAAGAACTGTAGTACAGCCGACCAATTATATGCGTTAATCAAGGTTATTGATCTCTTGGTTTTGGATTTTCTTGTAAAAAGTTATCGGCAATCAAAGTTATTTCCCATTAATTGCTTTATTTGTACACAACTCTTAATGTAAACTTATCGGTGTCAGTTTGAAAAAAAAACCTTATACAACATAACTTTCTGTTATTTAATAGATTACGTATTCTCTAAACAATGGTTGCTGGTATATATATTAACATTATAAGGAAATGTGACAAAAATCACACAACGTTGGGTTTTTGGACGTTTATAATTTTATTTCTTAAGTACCTAGGTAGGCCGTGTATTCTATGGAAAAGTACCGGTATCAAGGATCGTTGTCGAAAGGGTTGTTATAAATAATTGGGTAAGCATACGTACCACACGTACCCAAGAGAAGGGCTATGGGCCTATTGGCTGTATGGTCCAGCGATTGCATCACACGGTGAGTAGGAACTATTGACTTTATATAGTCAATGGTAGGAACAGAAAGTGACACATTGGAAAATCGAGTTCAGCATCATCCGTAAACCTCTGGTACAATCACCCACTGCAGTTATAATTTTTTGCTTTACACTTTACACAACCGCCATTGAAGAGCCGTCAATGAGTGGAACATTGTTTCTAAGCTATTGGCGACGGACATTAGTAAATTTAAGTTTCCCAGCCGTATACAACACTGATTCAATCTTGATTCAATGTCTTCTTTCTGGTTATCAAAACTCCAAAACAATTTTGTACTTATATTTCTGGTTCCTGACCTGGATGATGCCTAGTTATTTAATTTACGGTTACACTATATTATTCCACTAGCGATTAATTAAATCCTTTATGTAATAAACACGTTTTTAATCTCACTTGGATGGGATTTGCCTTCAAAACGTGATCGGAAATGGTTGTGGTGTTTGTAAACAACATTTGTAAACATTTCAGTGACAGCTAGAAAAAATAATCTTGATCCGAACAGCTGTTCGTTGTTTCATAGATGATTATGTGATACAAATTGGAAGAAAACTTGAAAAAAATCGCACAAAACTGCATTTTTGAACGGCCGTAATTTTAATTACAAAGTAGTGAGACCATATTTTAATGGCTAAAGACACTCTCGCCAATCCAGTGAATACATTAAAATGACTTGGGTCTTGATAGCCCGGGTATGTTTAATTATAGGTACCGGGTTAGCAGTCAGGGAGTTTCTTGCTCTCATGACAAAACGAAATGGAATGGAATGGGTCTTGATAGGTACTCTCGTTTTCCTGGAGAAGATTGCGTAAAATGCCATCTTGAGTGTGTCAGACAGACAGACAGACAGAAATTTAGATGAGACTTGTTTCGGCTTCTTTAATGTATAAAACGTAAAAATAACCTAAAAATGTATGATTCTGAGCAATGTACAGACAAAACTCTAATTTTATTTATATAGATAAAAATAATTATTGGGAAATTTAAAAATAACCTTTTTGTCTGTTTGCCAAACATTATTTGTTCTGTGACAAAAGACATTATGATGTCAAGAAGAGAAACTACATTGAGCTCTTGTGTTCAAATATTTATGCTCAGGGTAACATACAACAGAGTTCGACAGAGTTCCTACCGCAAACTGTTCTACATAAATGTTTAACTAAGGAGATATTAAACCAGCTTCTGTCTGAAACATATGCTGCTAAATGTTACAACAGATGTGAAAAAAGATCTGCCAAAGTAGTTTCAAGACACTACACTCATCCTTCACTCATATTTGGATTAAAATAGGCACCTAGTGGCGTCCCCATCTTAAATAATTGATATATCGACAGATTCAATGCAGACAAAAAAGTCGTTGGGGAAATTCAAAAAAATGCTATCAATCTGCCCTTAGTGGGTTTAAAATTTGAGCAAAACATATTAAAATAGCTCAGCGTGTTTTGCAAATCAAAGCACATTTTGTTATATATTTCAAGCAAATTAATAGGCAGTTTCTAAGACCTCTAGAGACACTAACCTTGTGCCAGTATTTCATCAGCAGTAGAGATCCGTAGCTGTACCTCGCCCTGAGCTCTCTTCACCTCTGACAAGACTCTATCTCTGGAAGTCTCCAGGTCTCTGACTGTAGCCTTGGCTGAGTTGACAGACTCTCCCAACACTGGGTACAGCTGACCATCCAGCTTACTTACCCAGTCCACTGTCTGTAACAAGCAAAGCACACTGTAATGTCAGACCAAGTATTTGGAGACTTACTTACTTCCATGGCCATGTTATTTGGCCTACCAACAATCTGCCTCCACTTCTTAAGGTCCTGGCAGCATCTTCTTCAACAACTCTCATCTTGACCATATCCTTTTCACTTCTTCCCACCTCTTTTAAGGACGTCCAGAAAGAGTCTTTGCGGTTTTCACCCAACCAATGCCCCAGCAGTTCTTTTGATTACATGTCCAGTCATATCAATCAAATCAAATATTTCTTTATTCGTAATATGTACCTATGTACGCTGAATGGTGTCAGATCTTATTCCCATCTTGTTATGTTTCAAACCCTTTCTCATCTGAGAACAGGATCAGATTCCAGATCCTAAAATGTCTCTAAAAAATCTTTTTATAAATCACGCTGGTAAATGTCTGAAAGTAATCCCTCAAATGACTAACAGTAGTGTTAGGTTGATGTTTTTAAGTTGATTTAGTATATATTTTTGTAATATCCCTAAAAAACTGTCTTGAGTAAATGACAACCATTTTATTGGCTATACGCTATACTCAAATGTGTCCATATTCTGCTTCAGCTGTTGGTGAAGACTATACTAGGCCTAGTTGAATTTGCATTAACAGAAAAGGTATGTGAATTTCCGACATCGTCTGAATGAGTGTCTGGTGTGGTCTATATTTACTATGGAGGAAAGTAGTACACATGGCCACATGGTCCTTAATGATCGGGATGGTTGTTGTCCCACCAGCTGCATCTCATATTATGCAGGTAATAATTTCAATTTTACGGGTCCATTGTCTCCCTTTAAGTAAATACATTCAAAGCTGTACCTTATGGACCTCATGTTTTGTCCTTTATTCTCATTCTGCAATTGTATTTATTTAACCTATTTTATAGTAATGTAGAAGATGAATAAAATTTGAATCTTAGATTTTGTATAGCCAATTTTCTCATATTTATTACATTTTGGTCTTCATTGCAAGATCTGGGATCTCTGGATGTAATGGTGGTAGGGTCCACAGAATCCAAAAGGCTGTTAAAATTGTTATATATGGGTCCTTAGACTAATAACTCTCTCATAAATAGATGTAAATATTATTTTTTTTATAAATCAAATGCGTAAATCAAAATCTTACTTAGCAGTAAGTAAATAAAAACCAGCGTTATCCGACAATGGGAAGGTTATTTTGACACCCTTAAGACTGGTTTATTGTTTTTTTTTTGCTAAAATTTAAATAATTTAAAAATATTTTTCTACCATAAAACCAACTTAAAAGTACAATTTTGTACAGTAAAATTTGACGGCAGTAAATTTTCTCCCATTTATTAATAGTATTAAAATTATATTTTAATAACTAGGCTATAGTAATTGCTGCAAGTTACTTGTTGGTATTTCTTAGAATATAAAATAATTAATAATTTCCTAGATTTTTAAATTTTGGCACAACTATTTTGTGTTCTTTGTAGCATTAAACCTAAGAAGGCATTAAGCGAATGTTCAGGCTACAATGGGCGAGAATAAAAATTTGAATTTTTTATATTATTAGACTTGTTTTACTAAAAATAAAGCTAAAAATTCAATTGGTCTCCAGGTTAGCTGCAACAGGAATATTTGTATTTATCAAACACCAGCAATATGACGGCTTTCTTTCATCTATAAAGAATAATAATTAAAATATATTTCATAGAAAAAACCAAACCTAGACTAAAAAGTTTTAATCTCACATTGCGGTGAATTCATGACAATGCAAAAAATTGACAAATCAAACTCTGTAATCGAATACTAATTGAGGCTGGCAAAGCAAGAAATAAACTTGAGAGAGACTAAAACAAGTCATAAAGCTAGGTAACTACCCATGGATAAGACTGTAACTACCCAACTATCCCCCTCCTGCCTCCTGTCTCTTCCCTCACACAGATGCAGACCAGATTTACAGGCCCAGAAATAACCTTCATTGTTTAATGACTTCTTTCAAACAGTGGGTCGAGGCGAGAGGCGGTTTCTCTGTTAGTAGCAGACTGGCTATCATCCAGCTTTAATTATCTCAAATCAGTCTCAACGCCCAAAATAAATCTCAAACGTTACCAAATGCATGTAACTTTTCCATTCAAATTGAACATGTTATGTGTTTGGTTTTCATGAAATTAAATGTTTAAGATGTATAAAACCTGTGCTAAATGACATTAAAATTTAACTACACTTTTTAAATTAGTATTGGAACTCATAGACATTTTGGATGTCAAGATCGCCTCTTTAAACATATTTAAGAACCTTTAAAACACTTGAATTGAAAATACTAATGTTTTAATGTGAGGATGAGTATATTAATAGGCAAGCATGTTTCTTGAAAACTTTTTTCTCAGCTTGTGTGCATTGCAGGGAAAATACACACCTCCTGTTAGAAAGATATTTTCCTGTAGATGTACAGTATCCCTTTAGAAACTAAAATAGCTCAAAAATAATAACAAAGAATGAATTTAAAATTGTTTTAAATTAGTATGGGCTTATGGGTTGCCATGCTGGTGACGAAATAACAAAGAAATATAAACAGAAAATCAAAACAAATGGAAGAAATTCCAATCAGATGTTTTATTCACAGCCTGGGGGAAAATAGAGAAGTCTGATCATTACATATTTTTTGTCGTGTTTTCAACTACTGGACGACCTCTAGTATGTAAAATTTGAAAGAGTAATCTTTCCTGAGTAGATCAGACACAAACAATGAGACAGTTGTTTACTACTGCAAAAATGCCATGCTTATAACTGTTAATTTTTTCATAGTTTATAAATTGATAAATTTTAGTCCTTAAAAATCCATGACTGCTCTGTTATTTGTTTTAGTATATTATTGTATTCTGTATTTAATGTTATAGTTTGTTTAAAGAAAAACCTGGAAAACAAAAGACTGAAGAAAAATATCACTTTGAAATAACATAATTTATAATAATTGCTGCTAACATGCCATTAATGAATTTTGTAGTTAGGTATATTGTTTGATTTTATAAAATCATATTTTTAGAAAAAAAATTTAATATAATATTTAAAAAAAAAACTTTCAACTTAATTTTAATTTTGAAACAAGATATTTTTTATCCCCTCCTGGCGGGGCTTTGAAAAAATTTTTCCCCAAAAATGTATATTTTATTTACAAAAAATATATTAGGACTAGTTAAGTTTTACTTGATGGATATCAACATAAATCATTTGGTGTACCTATTTATATGTCTGATATTTTAGCGCCCAACACAAATATTTCAGTTTGAGGCTTTAATTTCATTTCATTTCATTTCATTTTTATTTTCCACGGCAATGCCATTTACAATTAATTAAATAGCTAAATTAATTTAATTAATTAATTAATTAAATTAATTAATTAGTTTATTAATTAATGACTTTATGGAATTTAAGACTAATTTTAAGTATAGTATATGACAATAAGATGATTTTAGGGAACAATCCAAAATCTTTAATGCCTATGTATGTATGTAACATTTGATTAAAATCACTCTTGCAATTATTTAAAGTAACCAACACAACAGCTATTATGCAGTAATAGTATTTAAGTTACTTTTACACTGAAATGAATGAAATCATAAATTGGCATGACAAATGAATAAAGTTGAATTAAAAATAGTTGTGTTATTAAAAAGTAAATAAAAAACAATACATTTCAAAGCAAGGTTTTGGCCCTATCTAGAAATAATATTTAAGGTAGAAACTGGGAACAAAAAAGAAATCATCACACTACGATGTTTTTAGCCGTTTTACAAATGTTTGTTGAAGGCCGAAAGCTACGTATTGCTGTCCATGACAGCTGTCATGTTACCGTGCAGGTTTTTACATCCCTAGGGCCGAAAATCATCTAATACACAATCAGTATCCATAGCATTGCAATAGAGTTAATTTTTTTTGTCATCACTGCATAGCAACTATTTATTATTATTTTTGCTGATTCCTCAAATTATTCCTTCACAGCCTAACCTAAAAGTTGTAGTTGTGTTTACTGTTAGTGTGCATTATTATTGTGGTGAATAGTGGTAAAATAGTATAGTGTGGTGAAAAATAGCGTTGTAGCACAGACCGAAATGGTTTTGCAGATGTTATGGTGTAAAATAAAAATCTTCTTGATTACCATTTTAAATGTTGGTTCTGATGCACAGAAATATCTAAATGCATCTTTTCAAAACAATTATATCTACACTCATATTGTAAACATTTACAAGATTACCATATTTACTGTCTTAGAGATTAAATGTTTACAGTATGAGTGTAGACATATTGAAGAGGGATGAAATACACTAATAAAATAGAACAAAACAAAAATACCTAAAATATTGAACAATAAATAAAAACCAATGAACCTTTAGAACAACCAAATTGTATCTGTCAGAAAAATAAAATCAAATCAAAGATAAGATTTTTTCAAACTAACTCTTGATAATATACAGTAAAAACATACATTTATAGAAATTAATGTCTAATCACTCACCTTCTCAGAGTCGGCCATATTGTTGGTCCAGCGTTGCGCGCTGTGCCGGTCCGCGTCCAGACGTCGCTCCCAATCGTCACGCAGTTCCCGCACACCCGTCACTCTAGCTGTGAAGTGGTCGCTCAGCGTGTCAACAGAGAGTCTCGCGCGCGCCGTGTCCAGTGGCTCGGGGCCCTGCACATATAGAACTGGCCGTCAGCCAACAGTCTCCCTACGTAAACACCCCTCTCCCTCTGCAGATTTACGACTACAACCTGTTTACTGCTCAAACTGTTAAACTCTAATGTTCATTTACTGTAACCATGGGTGTAACTTTAGCTTAACTGGGATGTCAAAGTCTGTCAGAGGGGAGTCAACATATTTTTAGTTCGGTGTTGAAATGTTAAGTTTATGCTTAAATTCCAATTTCTTTAAAAATGTATAATACCACTATGTTAATTAGCTTAAACCTAATATTCTGTTTATTATGTACATGCTTTTTGATACTCTAGGATGTTTTATTTTTGGTCACATCAACAAGATATAACTGAAATTTTTAATGATAATTTTTGGTGACTAAAAGAGATGTTTGGAGATTCTGGATTCAAAACTCCACAACCCAGAATTCCTAATACTAATCTAATACAAAACAATTCCAAGTATCTCTGAAATACTAATACAACTAAGTTCTCGTACCCCAAAAATACTAACACAAAACAATTTCTAGTAGCCTACTCCAGTAGGCCTACTAGCAGCCTTGCAGTAGCCTTTGCAGGTGATGTTGTAATTGCAGAAAAACTAGTGGATCATAAGACTTCATCTAAAAAATTTTAAGAGAGGCAGAAAAAGTCGGTTAAAAATAAATTATTCTAAAGCTAAGTACAAAACTTTACTAAACTAAGTTAACAAGAAATTATTATAACGGAAACTAACCCATAGAAATTGAAGGACATGCATTGCTATTCTCAACAGTTTTACATATTCAAGTGGGTAGTAATATGAAATTAAAATACTGATAAACTAGAAATACAAAGTCGAATAATTTATGCAAAGAATCGTGCATGTAATCAATTGCTTTTATCCAAATTCCTGTCCCAAAAACAAAACTCAAGCTACACAAAACAATAAAATGCCCAGCTCTCCTATATGGATCAGAAACTTGTATAATAAATTGAAAATAAAAGAAACTAATAGTATTTTAAGATGAAGTACGTCAAAAAATCAATGGACCTATACATTAACAAGGGGATTGGAGAAGAAGACACAATGGATAGATAAGATAACTTTACAACAGCACAGGAATAATCAAAGAAATTAAGTTTCCAACAATCAGATGGCAATACATGTACTGAGAAGGTCTCAGGAATACCAAACTGGAAAAAAGATTCAAGGGCAAAGGGCAATCCTGATAGAACGGGAAGACATAAGCAGAGGTAGTGGAAGCAATGAAGGCGGATATGGAAAGAATTGGAGCAGTGAAGAAAGATGTAGAAGACTAGATAGAGTGGTAAAGATTTGTTGTTGCGGCTAAATATCACTTCCGATATAAATGGCCCTGGGAGTAAGAGTAAGTTTATAATAGCTTAGACAATTACAGCAACCAGCTGTGTCACATATGAATAAAAAATACCCCTGCCACAGCAAACCTGCAGACAAAGCAAATTTCCATTTGCCCAAATTGATTTTAAATTAAATCTATTTAAATAAAATTTGGTTTAACAAGTGCCTAGGTTTGCTGCTACAGGGAGGCTAATAAAGTGTGTTTTTAGTAAAATATTAGTAGCTTAGTATAAAATAAATAAAGTTTGATCAAAATATTTCCATAAACAAGTCAACTACAACATTTTGAAATATTCTCCATAAGAATAACATGGGAATTTTAAATTTTTTGTATTTTCTCCGTAACCAATTACCATACAAAAACACTACTACTATACTAGATACTACTAGTATACTAGATTATTTGTTTTTTTTTCAGGTCTTTAAAATGGTCTACAGAGAAATTAGGAATTTTTTTGTTTTGATAGGACAAATTTTTACTCCATTTTTATATAACCCCCGTAAAACCCTATTCCCCTTGTCCGATCATACTAGTTCACAAACTCATTCAAGTTTATCCCGCCTTACACCTTTAAACCAAATTTCATCAAAATCGGACAAAAATTACTCAAGTTATCGCGTTCACAGACGTATATATTATATACATATATAAAAATTTGAATGAATAGTGTTTTTGGTATCTAGGGACATCAAAATGAAAAAGTATATCGGTCCCGGCTCCAGGTCCTACTGTGCCACCTACAGTAATAGCAACTTCCCTATAGGGTAATTTGCTAATACACATTTCAAACCCAATTTTATGGAAAGATACAATAAAAGTGGTGATGTTGTGGATAGAAGCATAATATCTATTAAAATGGGGCTAAAATACTTAATCTAAAATAAAACGGCTAGTCAATATTTATAGTTCAAGGAGTACATTCTATTTTGAGCAACTAATTAGTGTTTGGGTGAGATCTATAACCTAAAACTTCAGTGGGTTCACAAACTTGATCCCATCTTAGAGTAATGTTATTGGGTCATAAAAAAGTATTTATTAAAATAATTCTTGCTTGGTCACTGAAATATAATAAACCAACTATAAATAAAATACTTCTTTGGTGCACACAGACAAAATATTACATTTCAACAGAAAAACTAATAATTTATTATGAAATCTTATGGTTGTTTTTATTTGCTACATAACAGATGTGAAATCTTCATTTTGTCCTCTAAATGTAAAAAATGAAATGAAATGAAATGAAATGAAATGAAAAATTCTTTATTTTACCAGGCAAAGTTAGGGCCACATGGCCCTCTCTTACACTTAACCTGACAAACTTAAGTGTAGTGTTAAATGTAGTGTTTGAAATAGAGCCTTAAAAAGGTGTGTAACATCTATTATAGTGAAACGTTTCTGCAGATTCAGAGCTGGAGACGGGTGTAGTTTACTCATTGTAAAGTGTAGAATACAATCAGTTATTGAACATCTGTTGTAGTGCAAAGTTTCTGCAGATTCAGAGCTGGAGTCGGGTGTAGTTTACTCATTGTAAAATGTAGAATACAATCAGTTATTGAACATCTGTTTTAGTGCAAAGTTTCTGCAGATTCAGAGCAGAAGACAGATGTAGTTTACTCATTGTAAAGTGTAGAATACAATCAGTTATTGAACATCTGTTATAGTGCAAAGTTTCTGCAGATTCAGAGCAGAAGACAGGTGTAGTTTACTCATTGTAAAGTGTAGAATACAATCTGTTATTGAACATCTGTTATAGTGCAAAGTTTCTGCAGATTTAGAGCTGGAGACGGGTGTAGTTTACTCATTGTAAAGTGTAGAATACAATCTGTTATTGAACATCTGTTATAGTGCAAAGTTTCTGCAGATTCAGAGCAGGAGACAGGTGTAGTTTACTCATTGTAAAGTGTAGAATACAATCAGTTATTGAACATCTGTTATAGTGCAAAGTTTCTGCAGATTCAGAGCAGAAGACAGGTGTAGTTTACTCATTGTAAAGTGTAGAATACAATCAGTTATTGAACATCTGTTATGGTGCAAAGTTTCTGCAGATTCAGAGTTGGGGACAGATGGTGTTTATATGTTTGGCTACCTTCACTGAACTGCTTACAAGGGTGAACCACTTGGCACTCAACCCTAGTCTCTTTGACATTGCCTCCTCCTTTTCCCATTTTATTACAAACTAATGCCCCCTTAATCAGTAGCCCTGCTCTAGATAACTGCTAAAAATACATCTTACTTGTTTGATCTTTGCATTTAAATTTCTTCGGCTTTGAAAAACTGTTTCTTGTTTCTAAGGATAAACTTACCGCTTAGTAAGATATTGATATCTTTTACATAAACGACCTTCAAGTCATTCAAGGTTTTTTTAGAAATATTGTCATAATTTTCCTTACTTTTATGTGTCTAAGGTATCTATACTGTACATTGACTCACATTTACATTTTTCATATCATAAGGCTAAGGTAAGTAAGTTATCCTTCTCAGCTGCTTCTACCGATTGGGGATCTGGAAAGACTGATACTAAATATATATTCACACTTCAAAATTGTGTATTTATTTATATCATTTATTAACGGAATTAGTTAGAATTATCTTCAGATTAAAGACAGTTGGACTAAAGATATCAGTCTTGTTGGGAAACATTTTTTAAATATGGCTTTTTTACATTTCCCTGTATAGGTATTTTTTTCTTTAACCTAGAAACAATCAATTTACTAGTTCAGTCAAAGACCAAATCTTCCTATTCCAATGCACGGGACTACTTTTTTGAAATAAATATTTGCCACTCTGCTATCAAGCTTTACAATAGGTTGCCTGGCTGCCCTAAGGTATGTCCAAGACAAGTTTTGGGAGGGAACTTAAGACAGTTATTTACTGGGGGAGCGTTTTATAGTGTCCATGCAGTTTTAAGTAAGATTTTTTTAGTTAGAGGTTTCATTTTTTTGTCCATGTGTGTCTCATATTAGTGTATACTGTAATTGTATTTGACTCATGTCAACGCTTATGCTAAGTTTGGCAATCTATACTTCTATATAAAAATCTAATGGTGTCTGTATGTGTATTACTAATAGGTGCAAAAACTACTGAACCAACTAAGCTTAAATTTTACAAAAATATAGCTAACATACCAAGGACCATTATAGGACTATTCACATTTCGATACTGACCGTAGGCTTTGCCCCTTTGGCTTTTACAGTTCTGAGGTGAGGATTTTAAAAGTAAATATTGATTGGTCTCCATGACTGCGATTAGAACACTAACAATGTTTGTTTACATTTGCTTCAATTCAATGTAAACAAGAAGAACTGCTAAATTGCATATTTCACAATTTCAGACAGCTGATGCAAAGAAGTTAAATATAATATTTTCCATAACTATGAGGTAGGTTTATTTTAATCTAACCTTTTATCATGGATTATTTATTCTAAAACTGTCAATGATTATAGAACAAAAATTCTATAACCGTTGCTGTATCAACTCCGGCTCTGCTTTGGATTTTTCGTCTCAGTTATGAAAATAATGTTATTGATATGTTTTCATGGAAACAGTATGAAAATTACAATCCCTATAGATGTTTTGTATGAATTTGGAGGCTATTTTAAATAAATTTGAACTGCTTAACATGTGATTAACTTAA